TATTTGGTTGGGGTCACGTTCCTTATTTATGTTTGCTTTTTGGTGTTTTCTCTGGTTGTGCCGTTTACAAATAAACTGTATGCCATACATTCTGCCTTGCCCGGTGTGGTCATACGTGTTTGGTCTTCCCGTGTGGTTACCTGCATATGATGTGGGGACACCTGTGCACGGAACCCTGACAACTGCGGAAGAAAAGCAAAAGGCAGAAATTCTGCTGTGCGAGTGCGACGCCCGGCTGGGAGATACGCAGGGTCCTTCTATCTTGGGGCCCCAGAACAGCTGCCCCCCGACTCTTCCCCTTCACCTCCCAAGTCCACCCCGGGCCCCCTGCAGTTACATTCTGGCACCCCAGGCAGGGGCCCACATGTCCCGACCCTCGCCCAGAGGGCAAGCCCGATTGTTTAGAAACTTTGATGGGAAAATCTATATTTGTCTTTCATTTTCATATGTTTGTAAGCGTTCTTGTTATCTGAAGACGCCCCCGTGTCACTGGAATAGAAGACGCCCCCGTGTCACTGGAATAGAAGACGCCCCCGTGTCACTGGAATAGAACCGCTACAGAACGTGGGGGAGTTCTCCGCGGGAATATTCACAATGTTCTCTACACTGCAATCCCGCGATTTCCTTCCATCGAGTATTTATAATGTAACAAGCGAGGCGGAGATAGAAGACGCCCCCGTGTCACTTTAATAGAAGACGCCCCCGTGGCACTGGAATAGAAGACGCCCCCGTGTCACTGGAATAGAAGACGCCCCCGTGTCACTGGAATAGAAGACGCCCCCGTGTCACTGGAATAGAAGACGCCCCCGTGTCACTGGAATAGCTCCGCTACAGAACGTGGGGGAGTTCTCCGCGGGAATATTCACAATGTTCTCTACACTGCAATCCCGCGATTTCCTTCCATCGAGTATTTATAATGTAACAAGCGAGGCGGAGACACACGGCAACAGAACAATGGCTGAACCATGAGTAATATCACTTTGCAGCACTGGGGTCCCGGACTCAGCTAATGCTGACCGCGGTATCTGCATGGAGTTTGTACCTTCTCCCCAAGTTGCACGAAAATAACTCTTCCCCCGCTCTATGGTATTTTTTAACAGTTTGCTTTGTTGAAGGGCCCCCATGGCAGTGCCCAGCATGTTCCTGGTATGGTGGGGTTATGAATACTGGGGTATGGTGGGGGTATAAATACTGGGGGTATGTTCCTGGTATGGTGGGGTTATGAATACTGGGGTATGGTGGGGTATAAATACTGGGGGTATGTTCCTGGTATGGTGGGGTTATGAATACTGGGGTATGTTCCTGGTAGGGTGGGGGTGTAAATACTGGGGTATGGTGGGGGTATAAATACTGGGGGTATGTTCCTGGTATGGTGGGGGTATAAATACTGGGTATGTTCCTGGTATGGTGGGATATAAATACTGGGGGGTATGTTCCTGGTCATGTGATGTGCCAGGAGGGATGGGTCCTTCAGGTGCCCAGGGGCCATGGACACTTCCCATTGGCAGGGTCCTGCAGACTCCAGTAGGAGAAGTCACGTTGAGGGGCAGCGACAAGACCAATCAGGGGCCGGACCGGAGTGTAGCCGGTGCTCACTGGTCTCTACAAGTCATGGGGGGTCATGTGACTGTAGATTCTGGCACGTAAAAAAATAAGATATATATTATACAGGAGTGACATCACCACCCCCCAGATATAAGTGTGTCCTGTAGGGTGTGTAGAGCATTATATGTGACCATGTATTATACATACAATAAAGGCTCCATTATATAATAGTATATTTGCAGCATTCCTCTCCTCCTCGGCCTCTGATTGGTCGGAGGATGCTGTTGTTGCTCCTTCCTTCCTCCTTCTCCCATCACAGCAGAGGACACTGCAGACCATACGACAATGACACAAGGACCCCACACACATTCCTGAGCCCCCCAATCCTCACCGATCCCCCCGGATCCATGGACCGCACGTCGCCCAGACACGGGAGATAAATGACAGGTGAGCCTTCCATTGAATATAATGTGTGTATGCGGCACCGACCGACCGACCCATCCCCCGACTGCCTCTGTGTGATTATACTGGATCCATGATTGTACTGCGCTCTTGTATAGGTGGGTGTTCTTGTGTGTCCCCGTATAACATTATCTATGAATAATGAGAACACAGATCCCTGTAGAACAATGACGTGTATACTCTATATACCAATATATATATATATATACAGATGTATCCATCCCGGATCTCGGTATCTCTGTCATCAGATTCGGTATTTTGGTAGAATGAGGATACTGGTGTGCGGAGGGAATCTGCGGATCGGTATGACATCGGATCCGCGCTGTATTCCGCTCCGATGGAATATTTCCAGTCTAATGACATTTTATAGACGCCGGGAATCAGATTTGTTTGAGGTTACGCCGGGCGATGGGATGACGGCTGCGTTCTGATTGGTTGGTTCGGATTGTGAGAGGAGCGATATTCATGAACGAGGAAGAACCGTCACCAGAGGCTCAGCCGAGAATCTTTCTGCATCCTGCCCGGGATAAGTGCAATGGTGTCATGGCGGCGGCCAAGTGTTGTGGTGTCATGGCGGCGGCCAAGTGTTGTGGTGTCATGGCGGCGGCCAAGTGTTGTGGTGTCATGGCGGCGGCCAAATGTTGTGGTGTCATGGCGACGTCCAAGTGTTGTGGTGTCATGGCGGCGGCCTAGTGTTGAGGTGTCATGGCGGCGGCCAAGTGTCATAGTGTCATGGCGGTGGCCAAGTGTCATGGTGTTATGGCGGTGGCCAAGTGTCATGGTGTCATGGCGTCATGGCGGTGGCCAAGTGTCATGGTGTCAGGGCGGTGGCCAAGTGTCATGGTGTCATGGCGTCATGGCGGTGGCCAAGTGTCATGGTGTCATGGCGGTGGCCAAGTGTCATGGTGTCATGGCGTCATGGCGGTGGCCAAGTGTCATGGTGTCATGGTGGCGGCCAAGTGTCATGGTGTCATGGTGGCGGCCAAGTGTCATGGTGTCATGGCGGCGGTGCTTTGATTTATGTTGTGCGGTGACCTGGGATCTCATTATAATCCCCCATCACCCATCCCACTTCCCTGACCGCAGGAGGCAGGACAATGATCATGGCGTCCTTTCCGTTACATCGCCGCGGATTCGCTGACCGAGCCGCCATTCCTCGCTGACCGGCCTTCTTCTACGAGTCGCACGTAATCAATTCTTCCCGCGTGGGATCATTTCCCTGATGAATTATGACTTCAATCGTCACTGCCGGCGTTGTCCTGAATAATGGATATTATTGTATATGATCCAATTAGTCCCTGCACACCAACAGAAATCCGATATCAGGCTGGCAGTGGAAGTGCCCATCCTGGCTGTATAGGAGAGCGATGATGTGACATCTGTTCAGCATTCTTTCTGCGGCTGTAATAGAGCCCTGCTCCATGGAGAAATAATCGCAGGCTCGGAAAGCGTAGTCTCACTTTGCTGGGTGAAGGCGGCACACAGCTCGGGGGACCGGCCACACAGACAGAGACTTTGGAGGGTCAGAACCTGTCATGGATCCTCTGATGGAGGGTCAGAACCTTTCATGGATCCTCTGATGGAGGGTCAGAACCTGTCATGGATCCTTCGATGGAGGGTCAGAACCTTTCATGGATCCTCTGATGGAGGGTCAGAACCTTTCATGGATCCTCTGATGGAGGGTCAGAACATTCTATGCCAGCTGACCCATCAGCAAATGAATTCCTATTATCTACGTGGTTCTTGCGCAGGCTCTTGAAGTTGCGTCCTCCCGGAGGATTTACAGCCGCTTGCGCGCGGCATCATTCCTCTGAATCCCGTCCATTATAGACGGATAATTGTCACTGTCGGTGCAGCGCCGGGGACGCGGGTCAGGAGGTCTCCCCATCGTCACCACCAGAGATTATCCAGGGAAGGAATCAAGCAGATGGCTCATCTGCGCCCAGTCACGCGGCGTTGCCATGCGTTGTCGCCCGCCGCTGATTTCCTCGCCAGATTCCACGAACTTCGCCGTCTGGAGGAAACGTGACAGAGTGTCAACAATAACAAGAGCGGCAGACCGAAACTGTAACCTCGTAATACTAATAATATATATTCTGTTCTCATAAACAATATTCAGGGCGGAGTTACGCTCCTTCTCCCCTAGGCCAGACCCCTCCCCCAACACACAGGATATATACTGTATACTGCTCCACATGAATATCATAAACATGGAGACACAACAGACAAAACATTTCTCGCCCGCGATGAAAAAAACAAAACTGGCCAAATAAACACAAAAGAATCAACTTGTCAATAAATGAAATCCTCGGAATGTAGAAATCTCGGCAGAGACGCCGTCAGAGGAAGTCCACAGAAATGACGCCGAGATAAAGCCATCGGGAAAGAGACACGAGGATGACGCAGGACACGGGGTTTGGGGTAGACATGCGCACTGCCAAAACATTCGTTTAGTTTCGTTTAAAATTCGGATTTCGTGTTATTTCGTTTTTCGGGATTCGGGTGTGAAAGTCAATTCGGATTCGGAATTCGGATTCGGACGAAATTCGGTAGCGGTAGTTCGTTCGAACGTTCGTTTCGTTTGCGGTTCTTATTCGTTTCGTTCGTTTGCAGCAAAGTGACATTTAAGGGGGAAAAAATATTTTTCTCCTTCTCTAATGTCACTTTGCTCCAACGAACGAAACGAATAAGAACCGCAAACGAAACGAACGTTCGAACGAACTACCGCTACCGAATTTCGGAAATGGAAATTCGGATTCGTTTGCATTCGTTATGTCTGTAATTCGGAACGAAACGAATCGCACATGTCTAGTTTGGGGTTCATTTGTAAAGATTCAGGAAAATACAATTTGGAGGATCAATATGTCCTAATAATAATAATAATTAATAGGAAATGAATAGATACAATGAAGGGGATGTATCAAATCTGGAGCAGCTGTGCGCGGCGACCAATCAGCATCCACCTTTCATTATCCAATCTTTCCTGAACAAACTGAAGAGAGAAGCTGATTGGTTGCCCCGGGCAACCGCTCCAGATTCTGTCTGCTCCGGTTTTGATAAATTCCCCTCATTGTATTCTAATGTGGAATCAGCACCTGTCACCACACCGGGAGTGGGAGGGGCAGAGCTGGAGGCCAATCAGGTTTGCTGCATGCGCATGTGATAACAGGAGGAGAGCAGCAGGTGGACTCTTCAGCATTCTCCTGCTCCTCCATTGTGTTGGGGGTTTGTTTTTGCTGCCACTGTGCTGTCTGGATCAGGGGTAGCCAACCAGCGGTCCTCCAGCTGTGGGGTGGAGCTACAAATCCCACGAGGCATTGCAACATTCTCACAGCCACGACTCCCGGAGAGAGATGCATCATGGGATTTGTAGTTTCACCCCACAGCTGGAGGAGCACTGGTTGGCTACTCCTGGTCTGGATCACAGAACTGTCCGGACAGAATTACAAATCCTTTGCAGCGCCCATGTATGAGTTCCATCATTAAAAAAAATGTAAGCACAAGGGGG